TTATTTGGATTTTACCTTGCTGTTCCTACCACCACAGTACATTTTTGTTGCAATACTTACGTTCATTTAAATTAGTCCTGTATATGAAATTCAGACTATAATAAGGGATTATCCTACACATATAATTAACAGGAGCCAGAGAGACCTTTGAACTGTGAACAGCATTTCAGTGTGGAGTCATAATTAAAATGGTGTTACATACCTGCCACCTCAGGCTATCATCATGCTCAAGACATGACAGTAAGCACTATACTTCAGCAATATTCACTACTGTCTGAATCAGTCTAAACAAACTACACACTGAAATTCCTTTACAGGCATTTGTCATTGGAAACTATCTTGCAAAAACCTATCTGCTGTGCATGATTTCTCTTGCTGAGAGAAATATTAAAATATACCATGAAAATATTATAGCAACTGATGGGTACTTTGTCTTTACTTCATTTTCACGGGGATTCCTGAAGGCTACTTCTACAGATGAAGCAAAGGTTTAATAGCTACCAGGCATGTACCTCTCTTCTATTGTTGGCTTTCATCTTCCAGCTAAGTGATGACCAGAGCCATAAACCTTAGAAACACCTATGAGATACAGTCTACAGAGTGGTTTTCAGAAAACCATGCTGCAGCAAGTTAACAGTTTAACCTGTTTCCCCAAAGGATTACTTCAACACTGTATTTTAAAAACTTAGGGCTGTTCTCCATGGTGCAGTGAGCACCACTGTTTTGTCCAGTCATATTTTGGCAGCTATCCAGACAGGGCTTCCTTTTTTAAATTGTGTTTACTCACCTTTAAGTTCGTGATTGTCGTTTTATTTTTTTCCATTGAAATAATAAACTTTGCATTAAGGTCTTTCTCCCTGAAAGAAAAACAAGACTGGAGTAAATTAAATAAAACATATCATAATAATCCACAGTCATATTTCCACTCAATAGGTTGCTTGCCACAGTCATTTATCAAGGGAATTCATTTCTATTTCATTTTTTAAATGTGGTGACCAATGTTTATTTATTGCTATGGGATATACTTGAAGTACTTAGGCTTGCCTCCAAATCCCTTCATCTAGCAACAGAACTGCAGCTCGGGGAAACCTACTTCAGAAGTTTGACTCTGCAAGTCACTTAAGCGGTTTATTCCTAATTTGAAGTACCCTGATCCAAAGCCCAGTGAAGTCAAGTACATGGTTCTAAGGAACTGCGAAACAGAACGCGACAAGATAAGCCCCAGCCTCTTACCACCACGCTAGTACCAGTAGACCCCGTTTACCCATATGGCTTAAGTAACAGGGACTAAATATTTAAACCACAAAACCCCAGATTTTAAAACTCTCTTAGAAATGACATATCCAACATAGGTTTTGGAGCTGTTACACATCATGGCAGTGCAGGAGAGAGGCTCTGCTACTAAGGGAGCATTACACAGGTGTGTTGCTTCCCAGAGCACGATTCCAGGAAGGAAAGAAGTCCAGTACTGCAGTAGTGTTTTCATGCACCCGTATCCTTTTCCCATCAGTTGTTTCTGACTGTTTTCAAAGTTATCATAAAAAATCCTTAGCTTAGTGTCCAAAACCCGCATGTCTCAATCTGCTTGCTGGAGATGGGATTTCGTTATAGACATAAGAGTAACACAGGCTGCTCTTGAATGACAACCTAGAGCATAACATCTCCTGTGTTATTAAAAACACACACATGAAAAAAAGAGCCAGAAGAGAAAGACTGCTATATACACCATACAAAACCTCGCTCCCCAAATGCTAACAGACACGCCTGTTCCAAAACCATCTGCTAAATCACCTGGCAAACCGGTGTGCCTGACTGCCACAAAGGAAAGCAGAGGGCTGCTTCACGATAACGCACGTTATCTCAGCGATTACTGGATATCTGCTTGTACCAACCAAAAAATGAAAAAAAGAGAAAATTCTTCCCAGCAACAAGAGACCCAAGTTCAAGACTTAAGCATGACCTTTTCTTCCTCGTAGTGCACTGGGTCACCCAACTCTATGTTCCTGAGCTAACTGTGCAGCTACCCTCTAGCCACGTTCAGTTTTCAAATAGGCATTCTAAAGAAAAGCAAAGCTCATTTTAAATCTACATTAATGAATAAAGATAAGGCAAATAAAAGTGCTTATTTAAATATCAACACATTAAGTTATTTTCTAAGCTAATAAAATATATAATTGTAATAATTACAGCATTAATTATACAACTGAATTTAGATCTACCATAGAAAGACGTCAGAGACATGCCTTAAGAGATGCCTCTTAGTCATTTCCATGTCATCCTGAGTAGCTTTTACGAGGTCTACACTTAAGAGACTGAAATACTAAAACACAGCTACAGATAATAAACAGGGAAATGGAGAAGTGGTTTCCAATGGTATTCTTTAGTAGGAAACAGATTTTGGCATCACAGTAATGCAGCCTGTGGATGGCTACCACTCATCCTGCTTCCTCAACAGTCTCTATGTATCTGTAACTATTTGCTCACCAAAGGTGTAATAAGTAATGTGGCCCAATTAAATGGTCTATCTTACTATGAAAATTTGTTTCAAATATAATTTGTAACCTGCTTCCTCTAGGAAGTCTGGAAGGACTCTAGGCAGGAAGAAGTTTGGGCCAGAATTACTGCTTTTTTTGCCTGGATTTCTTCATGCTTGAGGTGTACAAGGGGAAATAATAAAATATGTCAGTGCTTTCTTTCCCAGACCTAGCCAGCTCCCCATATTACAAAACCTAAAGCTCCTCAATGATGGAAAACTGATACAAAATGTTTCAAGCCTGACACCCATATATGAACTACACAAAATTCTGAGAAGCCTGCAGTCATTAATTTTTGTGATTACATTGATAATAGCATTACTAAACATTATTAAAAAATGAGGATTTCAAAGCAAAAAAAAAAAGGCTTTGTAAAGCACTAGCCAATAAAAAAAAAGAAAATCATAAATTGAGTTTTCCATTTTTGTAGGGGAAGGGTTAGGGAGAATACAACCTAGAACAGAAATACTATGATCAGAATCAATAAGCCAACCTAAGACAAGTGAAAAGACTTAACAGGAATCAAATGCTAAAGCTTCATTTTAATATGAGACAGCCAAGTATAATTTATTGTACACATAAGGAGTTTGAGAGGATCCCATAAAAACAATTGCCTGCATGATGCCAGTTATTTCCAGGCACACAGTTAATGCAGCTCAGCAGGTGCTGAGTCCCTTTCAAAAAGTTTTGATTGCAAATTCCACCTTAATGAAAGGTTCAGGCCATAAACAGCTGTATTGCAGTGTTGGGTACCCTTCTGCAAACCTTCAGGGCTGGGAGAACCCTACTGCAACCAGCTGCTCCTCCAGCATCCGCAGGAACCACTAGCCCTGCCTCAGCCCAGAGACAAGTCCCAGCCACTAACCAAAGACTCTGCCCCCGCAAATTCCATCCCCCTCATCGCAAAGCAATGTATAGGGGCCGGCTGCCAAAACTAGTTCACAATTAATGCTTTGATGATTTCAGAAAGCCTGTTTCCCCCCAAGCCCTAGTTGCTCACACAGCAGTGTTTAGGGCCAGCCTGCAGGCTGTGCTCACTGCTGTTTCATACACCACGTGGAGTTCCCGGATCACAAGGGAAGTAAACTTGTAACTCGTGATCCCCTGGCACATAACCAAACTACAAAGTGATCAAGCAGGCAAGTTTCTTGACACAGGCAGCAGGAAATACACCGGGCCAGTGCTGTTATTAACCCTCAACTATTGCTAAATTCAGCCAGTCATCTAGCAACTAATGGCAAGGAAGAGAGGGGAAAGAGGGGGGGGAAAAAAGGGGGAAAAAAAAAATCAGAAAAAACTACCTCAAATAATACTGGCACTTTAATATAAACAATATCAATATTAGTACCAAGATATGCTTAAAAGAGCTAGTATACTTGTCTTGTAACAGGATAACATGATAAATGGCTTACTTGGGCAAAGTCCCAATAATTTCTCTTCATCGCAAGGGGCACATGGGTTATGAAGATCTGCCCCAAACTGAAGATGATTCAGCTGCCTCATCAAAACACGGCAGCTTCATGGAAGAAGCTTCAGTGCAGATATCTCTATGTCAA